ACAGTTCAATATAAAATAATCGTTAGGATATGAGAGGGGCGGGGGTAGACGCATTAAATGTCAATAGTTCGAATATTAAGGTCTTTGAGTTGAAAAGATATGGAAATTCCGAAAGTCCTTGCGAAAGCTGCTGCTGCTGTCATCATGCAAACAGGATGTTGAGATAATCGTCCTCCTCCTTCGCGACCGAGTCATGGCTCATCAGCTTTTCCGCGTCTTCTGGATGCAAAAAGGGACACGTGGTCCCCCGGGGGCAGGGCGTGTCTGCACAAATCGCGGTTGGATGGATATACGCACACTGGAGGTCACTACAATGGGGCCACTTTGGACATCTTTGAGAAGCTGGTTTGGTACCGTCGATTGCTTTGCTGTAAATAAGGAAAAATGCAAAACTAGTTTAGGAAAGATGCAAAGAGGGCGAGAGAGGAGAAGGCCGAATCTTCATCATCCTTACACCTCCCTGTAGGGCAGATGAGGCTTACAGGCATTGAGAAGAAGAAGAAGAAGAAGAAGAAGACTCGCTTACGGGAATGCTCGTTGCTGGGACCAAGAAGGGGATATATTTTGTGCTTCAACACGAGGCTCAACTAGCTTAAGGACACTTTTAAAGGCCACCGATACGCTACTATCACGCCAGTACATAGGAAACGTGAGCCGTACGAGACAACATACATCCATGTTCCCATGACACGCAACGATTTTAGCAGTTTACAGGAGGGCGATGCCCAGCGGCGGATAATATTTTTGAATGATCAGTCGACGCGGGGTCGAATCTCGGCCTGGCTTTGGGATATCCTGGGTTGAAATTGGGATTTCAGTGACCCTATGTTTGTAAGTTAAGAGCGTCCGCCGATCATGTATCGATAATAAATTATACGCTATAGGGCAGAGATCGGGAACCTTCTTACTTTATAGAGCCATGAAAGCAAATATTTAGAAAGAATAGGAAGAACCTAGGGCACGCATATTCGCTTCCGTTCGTGAAATATTTGGAAATATATTTCAATGAGAGTCACATAATATTTAATATTGGCCGAAATTAAACTAATTCCGCTAGGTGTCTCGGTGGTGGCACGTCACTGGAGGAAACAAAATCACAAAATCTGAGGTTTCTATTTCCATTTTTATCTGAGAGAGCCAGATGCACTCATCAAAGGAGCCACACCTGATTTGCAAGCCAAACGTTCTCGACGCCTGCAATAGGGCATTACGACAAAGGAAGACTCGTGACTTAATTCTCTAAAGAACGCAAAACAATCA